CCAGAAATAGTACCTCGGGTTAAGAACTTTGCTTCAGGATGAGAACAGAAATTGTGCAGCAGCAGCGGGAGGCCCCACTAGCTAAAGTGGTGTTTTAGTTTAAGAACGGACCTCCAGAACGAATTAAGTTCTTAACCCAAGGTACCTCTGTATTTGGTGCAGGTACAGAGCAGGCAAGGTAGGGCTTCAAAAGAACAATTGCAGGCTTAAAGTGATTTTAAAGCAGTTTATGGAGGTTCAAAGAGTCATGGACTGGCCGGATGCAGAAGAGTGGTGCGAGGCACCAGGCAGGGAAGACTGTAATCCCAGGGTCCTGTGTTGGGTGAAAGATTTCTGCATTGTAGGGGGTTGGACTAGATGACCCCAGGGTTCCCTTCAAACTCTACAACTCTATGATTCTAAAACATTGTGGCTGCACAATGAAAAGGACATCTGGAGGGGCCCTAAGTCATGGCATTCTTTGCAGTCTTCCAGATACTGCACTAGAAGTCCCATTTATCCCCCATGATTTGATCACACAGACACACACACACACACTCAGGGCAGTGCAAGGTGTGTCAGAAACAGCATTCCCTTAAATGTCCTGCCAACTGTTTTACTGTCTTCAAAGGCAGGTCCTAACAATTCCATCCCAGAAACTGCAACGAACATGTTTTGCGAACAGGCTGCCTCAAAGGGAGACGAAAGACGACAGACCTGCGAGACATGGAAAGGCTTCCGCTTGTAAAAACTTCCCCCAACAGCTGGGCAAGGGCACCTTAGAGAGCCTAGAGGCTTCCTTCAAAATGACGCAGAGAAATGATGGAACTCAGCAAGCCTTTACAATATTTTGTTGGCTCCTTTTGGACAAATAATTGTGAGGATCATCTGCTCAGCACCATAATTAACCTTAAGCTGAGTTTTTTGGGGTTGTTTTTTTAAAAAATCAGAATTGGTGGTTTGAAACCCTATAAAACTCACTTCCAAAAAGTTAATTGCTGCACAGTGAGTGAGCCAGGTTGGAATGAGATCATGTTCTTAGTTTAATCCCCAACAGAAATCACTTTTAACTGCCAAGGCTACCCTCCTGGAATTCTGCTTTCAGCAAGTGTATGCAGAAAGGAGCTTGGGATCTAGTGGAAGATTGCGAGGTGATTTGCCGGAGATCAACACAAGTTTCCAAGTTCCAATGCTTTAACAGAAGTAACAACAGAAATCTACATCCCCCCCCCCCAAAAAAAAAGACTGGGGAATCAGGAGTAAATTCACGTGGGAAAGGATTTGTGTGCAAGCTTCTTTTAAGATTATAAGAAGATCCGTGCTGAATCAGGCCAATGGCCCATCTAGACCATGGTGGTGCTGTGGTCTAAACCACTGAGCCTCTTGGGCTTGCCGATCAGAAGGTTGGTGATCCTGGCCAGGCCTCCGCCTATTCCACAAAAGGTTTACAAAGTTCAGTTATTGCAAAAGTTATCTTATGTCCTTCAGAGGAGAAATTGTGAATTGCAGAATTTTAAATACCCGTCATCATCCTTGGCTTCATTCAATTTTGTTTAAGCCACTTCCGCCTTAAGGAGGAGGTGGGGTTGCGGGCTTCACAGCCCCTCCACATGCGCGGCTGGTGGAGGCCACCCCGTACGATTGGGAGGATTCCCAGCCGCATCACCCCCTGTCTGGCCAATCGGCTGGCTTGGAGGCGTGGCCTGCCCTGTAAAGGCAGGACGTGGCCGGGGATCTCCTTCTTTGCCGCCCGCCAGCTGTTCCTGTTTTTCCCACCCTCCCGCCCTATAAGGTTTTCATTCCTTGACCTTGCTATGGACCTTGGTTGGTCACCGTTGTGGGGCCTGGTAGGAATTGTTCCACTTGGCAAATTGGCACCAGCCACTTGGTTTTCGCTTACCTCGTAGCAAATCGTCACAACTTTCTGGGTATTGGGGGCTAGGCATTGGTATTGTTCTGTAGTTGGAAGAGGGGAGGTAGCGCCATCACCTGCCCCACATATTGAAGGGTAGTCCGTTAAAGGATTCTGGGGGGCGTTGCCCTGTCCGAAGCCTAGTGAGGTTAGGGCCTAAGGCATGCTCCCTAGCGGTGACCCCAGGGGAGTTCCTAGTTGATGTGCATCAGCAGGACTCCCCCTACTGGTGGTTAACCCTTCCCGGACTTCAAGCAGATGGGCTGGTGTTGGATATAGTTAGGACGAATGCCCAAGCCAATACTGCTCATCACCTGTAACCAATAAAGTTGTGGCCATTTTTAGCCTATTAACCTTAATAATTGTGTCATGTGTCTTTACTTCCACCTTGGGGGGGGGGGTTGGGAACTCGCCACGCGATAAGACTCTTCCATTTTCTTCTAGTTGTGAGGGTGGGGGATGGGGAGGGGCCTCACAAGTAGAGCAGCCTAGGGCCTCTCTTCATCTAAATCCAGCCCTGCCTATAGTCACCTTTGACTGGGCTTTTTAACCCATCTAGAACAGCATCCTCTTCTCACAGTGGCCAACCAGAGGATTGTGGGAAACCTGCCAGCAGGATTTGAGCACAAAAGCATTATCCCCTTCTGTGGCTTCCAGCAGCTGGTCTTCAAAACCAGCTGTTGAGGCTGAGCATAGCCCTTATGGTTTGAAGCCATCATTGATAGCTTTATCCTCCATGAATCTGTACAATCCTCTATTAAAGCCTTCCGAGTTGGTACCCAGCACCGCCTCCTATGAAAGTGAGTTCCATAGTTTTTATTATTATTATTATTATTGAAAAGCCAGCAACTGCAGCAGAGAAAAACTTAAGGCTTTTTCCGCAGACAGCACAAGGGCATGTTTTTGACCAAGTAACTAGAGCAGAGTTTCATTTAAGCCCTGAACCAAGTCTGTACAAGCAAGGCTTTTAACACGGCATCTGCAGAGAGCAGGCAAAGGGGCCATCTATCAGAAGAACAGACTGTATCTAAACAACCTACACATACCAGTTTGAGTGTACAGTGGTACCTCAGGTTAAGAACTTAATTCGTTCTGGAGGTCCATTCTTAACCTGAAACTGTTCTTAACCTGAGACACCACTTTAGCTAATGGGGCCTCCTGCTGCTGCCACACGATTTCTGTTCTCATCCTGAAGCAAAGTTCTTAACCCGAGGTACTATTTCTGGGTTAGCAGAGTCTGTAACCTGAAGCGTCTGTAACCTGAAGCGTCTGTAACCCGAGGTACCACTGTAGACTAAAGGGGGACAGTGATGTGTGGATAAAAGCAATATCTGTGTGTACCACAACATCCAGCAGCAGTGACTGTGTTAGAATGTTGGCTACCTTCTTATAGTTGCACAAAGGCCTATGGGCTTACTATGGGAAGCTGGAGAATTCCGATGAAAACAGAAATGAGAGCAAAGTCATGAATGCTTGCTTATTCTTCCTGTGTAGAAGAAGGGAACCAATCCAGCAAATGTGATCAGTATTTGCTGCTGCTGTTGCTTCCAGGCTGCATCCACAAGGCAGTTTATTCTGTTTTCGGGACTTTCCCCTAACTCTTAAGTTCTGCATTATATTTGAGCCTCTTCTGAACTATAGTGCAAGTCTGGTGCTCATTTCCATGTTATTTGCTTCCAGGGCGAGAGGAGGGGAACAGTTTGCAAATAATGTGAAAATGAGTGCTAAACTTGTGCTATATATTCCACTGTATTTCCAAAAGTAGCTTTTGCATCATGCCAAAGCTCAAATACTTGTATAATGTGGAAATTAACACTTAGGGAAATGTTGTGAAAATGGATGTGACTCAATTCTGTTTCTGATTATGAGGCCTCTTGGCAGATCATGCTAGCACATTATTGGAGCCTCATTGGTGGAGGAGTCTGGAGCACTGGTGCAGAGTGGGGGGGCAGAGCTCCCCCAAAATGTTCAATGAAGAGTCAGGGGCCCCTCAAAATTCTGCAGCGGCCACATATGCAGGCCATGGGGCATCCGCAAGACTTGTCAGAATGCCTCACAGTGTGCACAAGTGATGTCAGCATGCTCCGCAATGTGCTTGAGATGTGCGCCCATGCCCCGCGGCATGCTGACATTATGCGTGCATGCCTCAGGGCATGCACGTACAGTGTGGTGATGCCACACAGCCCCAGGTCCTCTCAATTGTGGGGGCAAGGGGGCATGTGTGGTCTGGAGACCTGGTCTAAGTGCATTTTCCAGCCATGGGTGGTGAAACTTTGGCCCTCCAGATGCTGCTGAACCACATTTCCCAACAACCACAGCCAGCGTGGCAAATGATCAGGGATGATGGGAGTTGTATTCCTGGAAAGGCAAAGATTCCCCAGCCATTTTAAGCCCATTGATTTCCGTTAGAGAGAAGGCCTGAAGTTTAGTGGTGAAGCAACTCCTTTGCACACAGAAGGTCTCTGGTTCAGATAGGGCTGGGAACAGCTCCTTCCTAAAGCCCTTGAAATTTTCTGGTAGCCCCCCAACCTGGTGCCCTCCAGATTTTTTGAGGACAGCAACTGCTATCATCTCCAGCTATCATGGTCAATGGATGGGGATGATGGGAATTGTAGTCCAAAACATTGGAAGGACACCAAGTTGGGGAGGCTAGTATAGACAATATAGAGCAAGACAAACCAATGACTTATACCGAGTCAGACCATTAGTTTATCTAGCTCAGTATTGTCCTCCTGTGCTCTTAGGCTATTGAGAGGCAGCTTAAGATGTTTTCACAAGGACCTCTCCCACACTGCATATTTGGGCACTGAGAGCATCATGGGAAACAATGTTTTGGAAGGTTTGGTCCTTCTGAATGAGATGCACTTTGATACTGCGATATTGAGACTCCAACGATCAAGTCTAATCTCACATATCTATCTATCATCTATCTATCTATATCTATCTATCTATCTATCTATCATCTATCTATCTATCTATCTATCTATCTATCTATCATCTATGAAATTATTTGGAAAAGGCATGTCTTCTTTCCATCCAGGAAGGCTGAAGGTTGTAGGGTTAAGAGCAATGAAGCCATTCTCTTGAACTGACCACAGAAAACTCCTGATTTGCTGGAATGAACACACTTTATTAGAGCCTTGGGTATGCAGCCGTACAAGAACTCAAATTGCGGCTGGTAAGAAGACAAGCAGGAAAGGAAAAATCAGAGCAGTATCTCAAATGACAAGGAAAGGCTGATGTGTTCAAGGTGCAGACTTAACGGCCAGAGACGTGGACCTGTTCACGAGATGAGATCACTTTTCCGTCTTGTACCTCCTCGACAATTGTGCGGACTTGGCGGGTGGTTGAGGGTCCTACAAGGAGACAGAAGGGAGGGGGAATGTTATTTGCAGGAAAGTGATTCAGCCTCCACCATCTGCTGACCTGCCTCTCTGTGTCCTACACATCAGCCAAAGCTCACTGTTAGAAGGAACTGGATTTTAACATCTCCCATGAAACCTCAGAATGTGTTGCTTACCAAACCATGGAATGCAGAGCAAGCTTTGCAGGACTGGCATTTAAAGGGCTTCTTGTGCTTTGATCAGCATCTGCAGAACGTTTCTTCAACCTTTACAGACCTGGGGCCAATCTTTAACTCCGACCAGCCACTTTCTATTTGTAACATGGCGCCCATTTTTATTTCATACTGTATGTGTCTTTCTCATTTCCCTTCTCCCTTTCTCCTGCACACACACATGCACACACTATCCCCTCTTCCTCCTTCCATCTTTCTCCTCTCCAGCTTGCCCCTTCTTTTTTAAAAAAACAAAAGAAAGAAAGAAAATAGTGGCAGTGACCCCCTTAAGACTTAACTGGCATGACCTGCTTATAAGAAGAACTTTACTGAGTCGCCCTAGAAGTCTGTGTAACACAGCATCCTATATCTACAGGGCTGAACCAGATACCTCTGGGAAACCCACAACAGCCAGCAACTGATATTCAGAGACATGCCGCCTTTGACACTGAAGGCGATAAAGCTATGATGCCAAACAACCATTGATAGCCTTCTCCTCCATGACTTTGTATATTCCCCTTTTAAAGTTGTTCAGGTTGGTGGCCAACACTACATCTTTCCATGCCTTAACTATGGGCTGTGTGAGGAAGGACTACATGTTTTCTTTTCTATTCTGCAACTCCTACCATTCCCCTTCAAAAGGAAAGGACCATAGTTCAGTGGCAGAACTTCTGCTTTGCATTCAGAAGGTGAGAAGGCCAATCCCCAGCATCTTCAAGTAGGGCTGGGATAGACCCTAGTCTGAGTCTTTGAAGAGCTGCTGCCGATCAGTGTAGACAATACTGAACTAGATGGACTAATGGTCTGACTCAACCTAAGGCAGCTTCCTATGTTCCTGTAGGACAACCCATAGCTCGATCCAGGTTGAGTTACAACCCGGTTGTTGACTATGACTCATTCGTTGAAGGCCAGTACCTTAATCCAATTAGTTTCCTGTGTTATCAAGTAACTACATGCATTGACTAATACAGATGACGTAGACGGCTTTGTTGAAACATGGCACCCTTTTATGAAATACTTCACTTAAGAATGGCAACTGCCGAAATCACAGACTGGACTTTGGCAAACTTAACTAGATCAATCCCTACTGGATGGTAAAAATATAGACGCAGCTACCATCTTGAATGGCTAGGCCTATTTGCTGACAGCATACTGATGAATGTATCATCTCCTGTCTGTCTGCATGCTTCAGTATTCTCAGCTTTTATAAAACAAAGAGAACTTCTGAAAAGCAAAAGGAAGAGCAATGGCCCAACAGATCCTTACCGCTAGAAATTGCTGACGAATACTGGGAAGAAATGCTGCAAGGGGAGAAAGACAAAACTGGATTAGAGAAACATGAAGAGTTCGTTTTCAGCTGCAATGCAGCAGGTGCAGAATTGTAATCAAATGCGCTAAAAGGAAAGTCACAACAACACAACCTTGTGTCCAGTTAATTTCATGATCAGATTGCTTTAAAATAAAGGAACCCCAGAACATTTCCTGGAACATTTCCATTTGTTACATTTTCTCCTCTGGCCCAATACTATCGGCTTCTTCACACATTACAGCAAACACAGCTATGAGTGTTTGTGTGAAAAAGTGTACCTGTATTGATTCATACAGATCAGCTGCTGTGTACACAGAGTGTATCCTAGTTGGATGACATGTGTGAATAACTGTATGAGCATGCAAGCACAACTCTTTGTATTCACAAGAATGCAGGTTGTACACTCATTGGATGTACCGTAATGTGTGAAAGGCCCTTATAATATTCTGCAACAGGCCAATGGGGGCGGAGGACTGGATATAGGACTTCTGTGCCAATGTCACCCTTAGAAATGTACCAGGTTCGCAAGCCAACACAAGACATTGCTCAAGGGTAGCATGGTGTGTTGACACTATTGCACCAAGAGCACCCACAACAGCTGGACCTAGTGTGCCAATGGCACATGATGTGCTTAACATACATCAGAAATAATGGGATGGGAGGACAGGCCGAGAACAGCCAGCAATCCTAAAAAATTACTTGGCAATTGAAAGACATCCTCTGTCATGGACTGGTTGGGCACAGAGGAATGGTGGGAGGAACCAGCTGGGGAACCACCAGGGGAAGAAGGCTCAGAGCCTGGGGAGTGGTGGTGGGACATTGTTGAGTGGTCAGAGGGAAAAGACTGGGAAGAGGAGGGGTTGGAAACTGAAGAGGTAACAGGGCTTAGTGAGCTGAGAGAGTCTGTGACAGAAAGAAGTCTGGAATCAGAGACAGAAACTAAAGCAGGAGAATGGGATGAGGAAGGCCAAGAGGCAGAGATGAGTCCGGCTGGTGCAGAGGCATGGGTGTCTTCTCCTGCTGTGACAAGCTTCCCTCCCCACTGGTCTCCCAGAACCAGAAGAGGAGTGAAAAGGGCAGAGGAAAGGTTGGCTGCACTTTGGCACAATCTCCACTTGCTTGGGGGAAACCCTGGAGAGGAGTGGGCTGTGACAAGGTGGGGACTTTCAGTCTCAGCAACTGATCCATGGGGCAAGACCTACCAGGGATGAGCTGCTGTGTTCATTAGGCCTAACACTCCACCAAGTCTGTGCAGATCATGTTCTTGCTAACAAAGAGTTAGCTTCAACTTGCACAGTGTGATTTACTGCCAGCTCACTCCTGACATCCTCCTATTTCAGCCTATTGACTCCTTATCCAACATTAGAAAACAGCCCCCCTCTTTATACATACTGGGCTTCCTCTCCCTCCAGCAGGCGGCGGTAGGTGGCGATCTCCTGTTCCAGGCGGGTCTTGGTATCAAGGAGGATCTTGTATTCGTGGTTCTGGCGCTCCATGTCGCACCTCAGCTCAGCCAGCTGCTCCTCCACGCTGGTGATCATAACCTGGCTCTGGGCGAGCTGGGCTCCGTAGCGGGACTCCGTCTCTGCCAAGCTGCCTTCCAGTGCTGCTTTCTGGGGGAAGAGAATTGAGAGAGAGGAAATCAGAGTTAGCTTCTGAGGGAAGCTGCACAGCAACCTTTAATGTTAGAGTCCTCCAGCGGTGGCTGGTAGGGCAGAAGGATGGGAGCCCAACAGTAGGTGGCGCCAATGAGCCAAAGACAGACACAGCCACCCTCTGACTGGTCAGAAGCAAGAAGGCAGGCAGGTGGCAGCTCGTTGAGGACAGACTGAGGTTGGTGGGGCAGCACCCCATTCACCCTAATAGACCTTCACTGGATTCCTCCCCGTAAGTGGGAATCCTGTGCAATCAGATTCCCGAATCGAAGGGAAACACAGGGGCTCTCGGTCAATGCATATTAAGAACATAAGAAGAGTCTTTCTGAGTCAGGCCAGTGGTCCATCTAGTCCAGAATCCTGTTCTTCCAGTGACCAACTAGATGCCTGGGGGAAGCCTACAAGCAAAATCTGAATGCAACAGCACTCTTGATACTTGAGACTCCCAGCAGCTAGCATTCTGAATGTGTGTCAGGATGTTGTCAGCGACTCCCGGCTGGTTGCCCAGGAAAGCATAAAGACAAGGAAAAGTTTCTTACTGTCCCTTTTTATTTCAATCTCTACAGAGAGAGGCTATAGAACCCAGGCTCTTGGATAATGGCGTTGTCCCAAATGATTCTCCACCCCCATCCCCATCTCTCCCACTTCCTCGTTCATGACTTCTACGGGTGCTGCTACACGCCCTCTGTCTTTGAGCTCTTTGCTCTCCTACTTTTAAGGTTTGTCCGGTTCTAGGAGATGGAGGGTCTGGAATGCTTTCTAACGACAACGTGTCAGCCAAGCATTGTTCTGGCTCTCCCATTATTTCCCAGCTTCCCCCTTCATCTGCCTCTGAGCTGCAACCTTCCTCAAACCCCTGTTGCAAATCTATACTGTCTTCCTCTTCCTCCTCCCTGGAAAGGTCAGTCCCTGACTTGTAGCCATTGATAGCTCCATGAATTTGTCTAACCCTCATTTACGTCCTCCAAGCTGATGGCCATTACAACACCTTCTGGAAGCAAATTCTAATATTTGCTTCCTCGGAGAAGGTAGAAAGTCATTCTAGGAATTCCCAGCAAGTCAGTCTGGTGGTGGGATGCAACATTGTGCCTTCGTTTCCCTGATTAAGGGGCAGGGAGAAGATTGCCTCAACGCCGTACCGTGCTAAGCTGGGACTGCAGCTCTATTTCCAGGCCTTGGAGGGTTCGTCTCAGTTCTGTGATTTCTGACTTGCCGCTGTGCAGCTGCTCCGTGTTCATGGCAACTTCGCGGTTCAGCTCTTCAGTCTACAAGGAAATGAGGAAACAGCGCAATAGTGACCCTACCGATCAAAACGCCCAGCATTTTTTGCTTGATTCTTTCCCCCTGCCCCCCAAGAAAGTGCATTCACCCCAAAGGAAGACCCACCTTGCTGAAGAACCACTGCTCAGCATCCTTCCGGTTCTGCTCTGCCAATGTCTCGTACTGCTCACGCATGTCCGCCAGGATCTTGGTCAGATCCACCCCAGGAGCAGCATCCATTTCCACAGAGATCTCACCACGGATTTGGCTTCGGAGGACAGTCATTTCCTGTGATGGAGGCACACGGAGCGAGGTTATTCGTAATTAAGATTCTATCATGTTGTTGGTTTTATTGTACACCACTATTATTATTGTTTTTTTAAGTGTTGGCAGTTTAGAAATATTCTTATAGATAAATCAAATGCGACTTCTTTGGGGGAAATTCCACCAATCTGAAAAATATAGGTTGTTTTTAAACCTATATTGCACTTGGATTGCAAACCCTAATGAAAGTGTCTTTCATAATGTGCTTCTGTTTCATGTAAGGATTTTCCTACATGCTTCTGTCAAGAGTTAGCTATCCCGGATCAGTACCATATTTTTCCGTGTATAACACGGCCCCTATTTTTTGGGACTCCAAATAATGAAATCCCCCATATGCACCATATGTGTATAAGACAACCACCAATTTTAAACCTGAAAAAATAGGGGAAAATATAGTCTTACACACGGAAAAATACGGTAGTTACCACACTTGCTAGTAAACTAATTGAAGATGTACTAGAGAATGACTGGTAAGGGAATCAGCGGGTGCCTGCGGTCATTTGATCCTGAGAGCCTAATTCTCACATAATGAATTATTTTGAGCCATGGCCCTAAGGATTTAGTTCTTCTGCACGTTGCTCTGGATACAATGAGTTTAGATTGGAGGCCAACCATTGCCGCAGTCTGGCTTTGTAGAGGCTGGTTTTTATCTCATTATTGTTGCAATCAATTGTAGACGTTGCTACTACTCCGTTTTAAGGAGGGGGTGCAGTGTGGTTTTGATTTGGATGACTTATTATTATTATTATTATTATTATTATTATTATTATTATTATTTCTTTTCAGCCAGAGCTTGCCAGAGCTCATTTCTGACACCTCTCAAGTGGGTGCCATTGCCATTCTAAGAGAATAAGGGAGAAGTTCATGGTGAACTCTGGCACCTCTTTTTCTAGAAAAATAGCACTGATTATTAATATTTTAGTAATAGTAGTAGTTGTAGTAGTAGTAGTAGTAGTAGTAGTAGTAGTAGTATGTGTTTATGAAATCTTGTACATTGTTTTCAAGGGCCATTTCTGCCCTAAAAGGCACACTGGAGCAGATCTAGGCTAGATTCTCACAGCTGTACTTGACATGCAGAACTCAACCTGTTCGCTTTTCCAATGGACTTTTAAGGGCTGGTTCATTCATGCATCTTCAACACTTGATGGCTGCAGTATCTAAGAGTGACTTGCACTTATGAATGGGCCTTTACAGACAGAACAGTCAGAACCTCTTTAAACGCAATGCTTTCCAATGGAGTCCATTCCTAGACTTGACGTCTGTGATCAAAGGTATGTTCATGGGTAAATAGGGCCCAGGTTTATGGTTACATGAATTGTTTGGTAAGTATCTAGATCACAGCCCAAAAGGTCTGTTTCCTGCCCATTTTCCCAATGATATTTCAAAGACATTTCATTGTGGCACAGCCTGTTGCGCTGGGCCATTCAGAAGATGCTTGTAGCATGTGCAACCACATTGGACAAAAAGAACGTGCGTTGGGTTCATCAGCCTGTTGCGCTGGGCCATTCAGAAGATGCTTGTAGCATGTGCAACCACATTGGACAAAAAGAACGTGCGTTGGGTTCATCAGCCTGTTGCGCTGGGCCATTCAGAAGATGCTTGTAGCATGTGCAACCACATTGGACAAAAAGAACGTGCGTTGGGTTCATCAGACATAAACCAGTTGAATACTGGTGTCCTCCCCCTCTCCTTTAAAAATGTGCACCCCTCTGTGACGTTGCCCATTGGGCATTCTTACCTCCTCATGGTTCTTGTGCAGATAAGCCAATTCCTCCTTTAGATTTTCCAGCTGCATTTCCAGATCAGATCTGGACAGTGTGAGATCATCCAAGACTCTGCGCAGACCATTGATGTCAGACTCAACACTCATGCGCAGGGCCTGCTCTGTCTCAAACCTGCATCCACAAAGGATTGAGAGGAAGAGGGAAGGGGAAAGGGGTAAGAGGTTGTCCCAGGAAATGTTTGTCACACAGCTCCCAGCCATGGTGCTGGCTGTGAAACCAACCCAACCACTGAGTTTTGTGTGTTGTTTTTTTAACAATTAAACCTACTTGGTTCTGAAGTCATCAGCAGTCAACTTCGCATTGTCAATCTGCAGGAGGATGCTGGCATTCTGAACACTGGCAGCAAGAATCTGCAAGGGAAGTAGGGAATGGGTGGTTTGAAATGGTAAAAATTCTGGGCAAGTTTTATTTTATTTTTAGGGAACCCTCGACTGGCGTTTCATTCAGGACCTAGCCTTGTGCTACGTGAAAGCTCTGGGACTTTCTTTCTAATTTACTTAACAGAAAGCCATTTCAAGGGCTGGAAATCATAGAGGAATCACAGAACTGCAGAGTTGGAAGGGACTCTGAGGACCATCTTGTCCAACCCCCTGCAATGAAGGAATATTCAGCTGTCCCATTCAGGGATCGAACCTGCAACCTTGGCATTATCAGCACTGTGCTCTAACCAGCTGAGCTCTCCAGGAGAAGCATGGCATGCACTAAATTATCATCATTATTATTTTTTTAAACGTGACATCTTCATCCTTCAGCATTCCAGATGCATTTTTTACTAGGGCTCGTGCCAGGGAACATCCCAGTAGATAGTGCCCCGTATTAATTAGAGGGGACACCATTTAGAGTACAGGGTCTAACCTACAGCTGTCCAGAATCTGTTGGGAGTCCCCCATATTAGCCCTGGCCACTGGCATTGCTGGCTGGGGCTGATAGGAATTAGAGTCCCACAACATCTGGAGAAGAACAGGTTAGTCACCCTCTGGATTCGACTTGAGGAACAAAAAAATGTCCTGGGCTGGCTCCAGTTTTAGGGATCAAAGTGGGCGAAATGAATTAACTTCTCGCACTAAGGAAATCCTAGTTAATTTTACTACAGAAGAGGCTTTGGTTTGGCTGATGTCATTCCTCCACAACCTCCATAGCCCAACAGTTAATAATTATCCCTCCCAATTAGGAGGTTGTGTTGGACCTTGGGCTACTTCACATAGGTCATTGGTCCTGTGTAGGGGGAAAGTGTACATCTTCAGACAGGGTGTACACTAGGAGCATCCCAGACCCTGAGATCTCAGGGCCCAAACCTTAGACTTAGGGGCATCCCCTGGTGATGTCACAGAGGTGGGCCCTGGCCATTCTTCCGCTGCACTCCCTCCCACCTCTGAGCCCTGGAGATGGAAGTTAATTGGAAGAGGGAGTCTCTGCAATAATCTGCAGCTGGCTCCTGCCAGGCTGAAGCTTGCAGGCTGTATGCACAGTCTTCTCAATAAATGAAAATGAAAATTAAATTAAGGCACAAAAGAAAGTAGTATACTACTAGTAGTACCACAATAGTAGTGCAGTAGTGGCGATAATGGTATTTCTGGACGATAACTGGGCTAGTTGCAGCTACACAGCCAAGAGTCCTGTGGTAGCATTTAACTAAAGAAAGCTATGTAAGAAAGGAGGGGAATACCCAATGGCTATGAAATGTAAGAGACAGGGGTAATTCAATGGCATTTCTATGCAAGGACAAATCGTTGGCAAGATAAGATCTGTGACCCGTTCACAGCACTAGCAAGCACTATCTTAAAAATCTTTGCTTTACAAATTTAACAGCTATAGTGGGAAAGAAACACACAGTTCTGATTAAGTCTAAATTCAAGGGGGGGACATCAAATGTGCTGATCAATGTTAGCTTAGCAGGTTCATGCTGGAACTTCCCTTTAATATTATTCTCTGATTGTGGTTAATATTATTCTGACATCATCAGCTAAGTGTTCTTGGATTTTAAAAATCCTTTGCCTAATGCCTACTTACATGTTACACAGACTAAAAGAATTGGATTTGAGGTCTCTGGGTGCTAAGCAGATTTTTTTTTAAAAGGGGGGGGTTCTCCCCAAACCTTTCAGACTTTCCTCATGGGCTTGTTAAGAGCCAGTTTGCTACGATTTTCCATCCTAGAATTGTAGAGCTGGGAGGCACCCTGGGGATCATCTAGTCCAACCCCCCTGCAATGCAGGAATCTGCAGCTGTCCCATAAGGGACTCGAACCCTCAACCTTGGCGTTATCAGCACCACACTCTAACCAACTGAGCTATCCAGGCTAAGAAGCCCCCTTAGGGTCACCTCACCATACCTTGCTCCGCAGATCCTCAATGGTCTTGAAATATGGGCTGTAGTCACGGTCTGGACCAGGTGCTTGCTTCTTGTACCACTCCTTGATCTTAAACTCCAGCTCGGTGTTGGCTTCCTCCAGCGCCCGCACCTTGTCCAGGTAGTTAGCCAGGCGGTCGTTCAGGTTCTGCATGGTCTCCTTCTCACCCCCGGCCAGAAGGCCTTCGCCACCACCAGCAACAAAGCTTCCACCATAGCCTCCACCGTAGCCTCCACCAAACCCACCACCAAACCCACCACCAAGGCCGCTGCTGCTGCAGAAGCTGCCCCCATAGCCACCACCAAGGGCACTGCCTACCCCAGAGACATAGCGAGAGGAAGAGATGGAGACGCCACCAGCTCCGCCATGGATGCTCGGGGCTCTGTATCCTCCACCCATATGGACAGAGGAAAGCCGGGAGGAACCCCCAGCAAAGGAAGGCCCCTTCATCGAGGAGGAAGAGGTGTATTGCCTGAAGGTGGTGGTCATGGCTGCCAGGAAATGGAGACACTCAAGCCCAGAGAGATGTTCTTGCTGCTTTCTAAACGGCCGAGGGAACTAACGGCTCTCTCATGCCCCATGCTCCTTTTATCTCCAAGGTTGGAGGGGGGCGTTGCTTTGGAAAAGCCCTTCTTCTCTCTGCTTTGCATTCCCCAGGGCTTTCGTCATCACAGACATCAAAAGCCAACATCCACGCTCATCGTTTGTCTCCCCAGGTCTATTCATGCGTGTGTCACATTCCAGCAGATACACCTTGCCCTACAAAGGGCGGTTTTGTGTTTCCCCTTCTGTTCCCAGGTAGTGTGATTCAGAAAACAGGAGGACTATTGCTCAAGGGTACGGTGTAAGATTGCCACCTCTTTTTTTTTTTTCAGCGTGCCCAGGTAGAAACAATGAGCCCTTGAGAGCTGGAAATCTCAGGGAGAGGGGGGAAATCATTACAAAACAAAGGGATATTCATACAGGAGTCCAAGCTCTAAATGCCTTGCACATCTGTTTCTGGCAGGAGACGCAAACCTGAAAGTTCTGGCCAGGGGCTGCTTCAGGGAGCGCAAGAAATGAAGAAAAAGTCCTACACAGAAGATTGCAGGTTCACATTGCATGGATGTGCGGTGGGAGATTTGTCAGTCGATACCCGTGGGAGCTTTGATCCCAGCACCAGAAGGGAACTCTCACCAATATCACAGTATGTAATGTCCTTTGATTGAACAAAGATGCAGGGAAAGGGAACTACATCCGTAGAGTTTCTGATTGTTTAGCCGTTCTTACGTCTTAAAGCAAGAAACGAAACAAGGGAAGGCCTGGGACTATTGTTCAAGTTCATGGGAGCTTCAAAATGCCACATGTTCCAAGTTATTCCAATCATGATCACACCAGGCTCTCATTTCTGGTGCAGCTGAGTCACAATTAGAAAGTCAGGCAGTTCACGGCCTTGTTCACCTCCTTCTGACAACTGCAGGGTGCCACAGTGACAGCAAGAGCTAAGCCTGCTGTGCCCTTGTGCAAGGAGACACACACACCTAACTGGAGAAAGTCGCACCCACTAATCTAGGCCCCTCACTTCCTATTTGCACCGCAGTGAATTTGTACTGATGAACATTTTCAGGACAAAGAGTGCATTTCAAGGGCATAAAAAGGTTTTGGGGAGAGCTTGTTTTTTTTTTTTATAAAAGAAATACCAGTATGAAGTTGTTGTTTTTCTCCAGTCTGCAACTTTTGTGCTCTTCCTGAGGCTGTGTACACACTATACCTTTAAAGCACATTTGAAGCACATCTCCCTCTCCAAAGATTTCTGGGCACTGTAGATTGTTATGAGCTGGTCAGAACTGTAGGGTGAACTCCTGTGCCCCACTGAAATGGGGAATGCCTAAATGTACTGAAGGCTTTAGCATAAGGAAATTCCACTGGAGTATACTAAGTGGTCTCTGAACTCCTTGATGGGTTGATAATTAACTATTGTTGTTTTCTGCTAGCTAAACCATGAGTGTTCAACCTTAGATCAGGTGACAAAGGTATTTGGTTGCAAATCTCCATTTTGAAAGCCCTGTGGCATTTTGTGGCAAAAGTGGGTGTTTGTCACTACACTTTCACCCCACACTGATTAATACCAGAGGTGGGGAAGCTGCAGACCTCCAGACTTGTGCTCCCTCCAAAACATCAAAGGCAAAAAGCAGAATACCATCTCCCAGGGTACCATCTTCCCATTTTTTCTTGCAAAAACGTGGCGGCCATTTTGGGTGCCATGATCTCGCATAATTACGCACTGCAAAAAAAGTCATTTTTCCGGGGGAGTCGTGGCGCAGAATCACACAAGATCACAGTACCCAAAATAGCCACTGTTCTCTCATAAGGAAAATAACCCAGATTTCACGGTATTTCTGGGACAGTTGAGGGGTCTGCATCAGGCGCAACTACACAGCAAATAGCCAAGGAGTATGGTGGGAATTGTAACAACATCTGGAGGACTAACAGTTTTCCCTACCCCAACCTATTTGGAAGTTCTTTAGATCAGTGTTTCTTAACTGGGGGCCCCCAGGATGTTCCAAGGCAGCCACAGGTGAAATTATATAATCTGTATAATTATAAAAAATATTTAAAAATGTTCTATTTATAAACAAAATACAAAATAGCTACCTTCCTATTGGTAGAAAGAGGGGGCACAGGAAGGAAACAAGGTGGGACCATGGTCGGAAAAAGGTTGAGAAACACTGCTTTATATTCCTGCCAAATTTACTTCCAAATATATGTGCTTGACCAAGGTGGCAGCAGTGAATCTGCTCTATGCAGGCAGGAAGCAAAACAAACAAACAAACCCTTATATTAATAATTTAATGATGTATGGAAGTGAGAGCTGGACCATAAAGAAGGCTGATCACCGAAGAATTGATGCCTTTGAAGTTTGGTGCTGGAGGAGACTCTTGAGAGTCCCATGGACTGCAAGAGATCAAACCTCTCCATTCTTAAGGAAATCAGCCCTGAGTGCTCACTGGAAGGACAGATCGTGAAGCTGAGGCTCCAATACTTTGGCCACCTCATGAGAAGAGAAGAACTCCCTGGAAAAGACACTGATGTTGGGAAAGATGGAGGGCAGAAGGAGAAGGGGGCGACAGAGGACGAGATGGTTGGATAGTGTTCTTGAAGCTACCAGCATGAGTTTGACCAAACTGCGGGAGGCAGTGGAAGACAGGTGTGCCTGGCGTGCTCTGGTCCATGGGGTCACGAAGAGTCGGTCACGACTAAACAACAACAACAACATATTAATAATTAGGATGGCCAGGTGGAAAAGAGGAGAGGTCCATTGCAACTTTAGTAGAGACATAAAAGAGGGATTTTCAGGCAGGGATGGTTTGTCATGCAAGTCACAGCTGCTGGCAAGCTACACTTGCTGAAACTCCCTGTTCTGCTCAAGAAGGGAAAGTGAAGGAGCCCTTTCTTGTGTCCGCTCACCCAGAAGGAGCTTTTGGGGTTTCATGCTCAGAGACGAAGCCAGGAGCCAAAGGAAGCGGGAACCTGGATGAGCCAAAAGCAGCTCATCTTCTCACCATCCTCTTCATCCTCACATTTCAGGGAGTGTCCCCAAACAGAGGGGTCCCATTTAACTCTCATGGTTAACAGCCTATCCTTTGTGAAAATGTGTCACTCGGGGCTGGCGAACCTTTTCCAGTCAGCGAGCCGGATCCTGACTTCCCCCCAACTTCCCCACGGGTCCTTTTGACAGGTAGGCATCCTGCACCTTTGAAATAAAACCGTGCAGGCAAAAGCTCCGGGATTGACAGGTCCTCTGCTTTATGCAGAGAGCAGCAACTTCACCTGCCCTGCACCTAACAGCATGGATGACATCGGGTGTAGGGCAGGTGAGCATGGCTGAAGAGAAACGGCCTAGTGGGCCAAATCAAGACCCCTCCTGGGCCTACGTCCATCGCCACACCTTTCTGGCAGTGAATTCTGAAGGCAAATGTCGCTTGGAATGCAGACCTATGGACTTTACTGCATCCCCTACACACACAAATCTGAAATGACGACCCCCGTCTCTGAGGGAGGGCTATTTCCCTGGATACCTGCCTGCCTTCCACTCTCCAGTCCAGACAGCATTTGCATCACAGCCAGAGAGCACTGGCGGCCGTTGCCACATCATGCGCAAAGGGACTGAGTGCCAAAGGCACGTTGTCACACTGTGACTGGCGCATTCTGTTTCTTCGCTCCTGCGTTTCCCACGCGTTGCCAGCTTTGGCTCTTAACCAAGCTCTAATTATTTCTTTTTTTCCCTCTCCTTTTCTTTTCACAACCCTTCAGAAAGGTGGAAACAATTCTGTGTACTCGGGGATCAATAAAACTTGCCCTGGCTTGACTCCTGGCATCCTATTCACCATGGCACCTTTTCTTAAGGAATTACGTGGCTTCTGTTGGGTGAATAGCCTCAGGGCAGCATTGCCAACCATGACTTATACTTTTGGTTTGTGGTGTCTCTCTCTCTTTCATTATGGTTTTATTATTTTTATTTTTAACTGGGCAACTGTGCCAGGATTTCTCCTGGCAAGAGCCATCAGAAGATGGATATTTTTTAAAAAAAATAATAATTAGCACTTTATAAATTGCATATTTATTCTGTGTTTTGTTTTGTGTTTTGTTCCTAATCTTTGTTTTATGTATTCTTTTCTACTACATGTTATTTTAGCTGCCTTGTGGGCCCCAGGCTGAAAAGGCTGGATATACCGTATACCGTATTTTTCTGCTGGCTCCTCTGACCAAGTATGCCAACCTCAACCACTCCCGACACACTTGACCAACCAAGGGGGAGGCCCTTTTCTCGGTCCTGCCACCGTGAGAACGTGGGACAGGGCCTTCTTATTGGCTGCTCCCAGACTTCGGAACTCCCTCCCTAGAGAAGCTTGACAGGCTCCCTATTGTTGTCCTTGAAGACCTTCTTGCATTTGCAGGAGAGAATCAGCAAGCATGATGGCAGTGCTTAACTCTTTTCCCGTGCAAGGCCGACACTACTATTAGGCAGAGTGAGGCAGTCACCTCGGGCAGCTGATTTGGTGTCACAAAAGGGCAGCAAATTCTGGTTTGTTTCTTATCATGAAACAAGGAGAGGACTTCGGGGGTTTTCTGCCTCAAGCGCCGAAACAAATTGCCCAGCCTCAGGAAGATAGGACGATACTTTATTCTGAGTCTGACCATTGGTTCACCAAGACTAGAATCACGTATATTTACTGGCAGCAACTCTCCAGGGTTTCAGACTGGGCCTCTCCTTACCCTACCTGAAGATGTCAGAGATTGGACCTAGGATCTTTGCGCAAATTATTTACAATTTTGATTGAGGGGAGAGAAGGCAAAGGTACAGTTTGGGCTGGATCTAGACACATCAAAAAAACGTTTCAGGAAAACGCATTGTAAATTTCGTGATGGGAAATCACGTTGGGCTGGATCGAATTCTACAGCGCCATCTGGTGTCACAGTGTTGTAATGCATTTAAAACACTTTTTAAAAAAAACCTAATGTAGCTGAGTCCTTGGTTTTCTGCCTCAAGCCAGCAAAATATCTTAGGGTAGCCCTGCTCACCAAGTCTTCTCTGCAAATGCCCTCATTTTCCTTCCGAATTCATCCTCCAACAGGTTCCAAGGACACTTCCAGACAACCTGTTTCCTGAGCATTCAATAGATCTCCCTGTTTGCAGGGAGGCTAGACAGCGTTGCCTCGAGCAAATCTCACCCCACACTTCGCAATCTGTTTTCCCGTCACCGTCCTTGTTGCAAAATATCTGGTCTTTTGCGAGAAGCGGATGTGTTGCACAAGACTTCCCAAGCAGCTGTGGTTC